ACAAGAGGTATTACACATGACAGAGGTATTACACATGGCAAGAGGTATTACACATGACAAGAGGTATTACACATAGATAGAGGTATTACACATGGCAAGAGGTATGACATGTTGCAAGAGGTATTACATGTGCTGAGAGGTATTACACATGACAAGAGGTATTACATGTGCTAAGAGGTATTACACATGATAAGAGGTATTACACATGGCAAGAGGTATTGCACATAGATAGAGGTTTTACACATGACAGAGGTATTTCACATGGTAAGAGGTATTTCACATGGTAAGAGGTATTACACATGGCAAGAGGTATTACACATGACAGAGGTATTTAACATGGTAAGAGGTATTACACATGGTAAGAGGTATTACACTTGCAAGAGGTATTACACATGATAAGAGGTATTACACATGGCAAGAGGTATTGCACATAGATAGAGGTTTTACACATGACATAGGTATTACACATAGATAGAGGTATTACAGATGACAAAAGGTATTACATAAGGTGAGAGATATTACGCATAGATAGAGGTATTACACGTTACAAGAGGTATTTCACATGATAGAGGTATTTCACATAGATAGAGGTTTTACACATGACAGAGGTATTACACATGGCAAGAGGTATTAGACATGGCAAGAGGTATTACACATAGATAGAGGTATTACACATGACAAGAGGTATTACATGTTGGAAGAGGTATTTCACATGGTAAGAGGTATTACACATGGTAAGAGGTATTACACATGGTAAGAGGTATTACACATTGCAAGAGGTATTGCACATTGCAAGAGGTATTTCACATGGTAAGAGGTATTACAGATGGTAAGAGGTATTACACATGGCAAGAGGTATTACACGTTGAAGAGGTATTACACATGGTAAGAGGTATTTCACATGGTAAGAGGTATTACACGTTGCAAGAAGTATTTCACATGGTAAGAGGTATTACACATGGTAAGAGGTATTACACATTGCCAGAGGTATTTCACATGGTAAGAGGTATTACACATGGCAAGAGGTATTACACATGGCAAGAGGTATTGCACATAGATAGAGGTTTTACACATGACAGAGGTATTACACATGGCAAGAGGTATTAGACATGGCAAGAGGTATTACATATAGATAGAGGTATTACACATGACAAGAGGTATTGCATGTTGCAAGAGGTATTTCACATGGTAGGAGGTATTACACATGGTAAGAGGTATTACACATTGTAAGAGGTATTACACATTGCAAGAGGTATTACACATTGCAACAGGTATTTCACATGGTAAGAGGTATTACACATGGCAAGAGGTATTACACATTGCAAGAGGTATTACACATTGGAAGAGGTATTTCACATGGTAAGAGGTATTACACATGGTAAGAGGTATTACACATGGCAAGAGGTATTACACGTTGAAGAGGTATTACACATGGTAAGAGGTATTTCACATGGTAAGAGGTATTACACGTTGCAAGAGGTATTTCACATGGTAAGAGGGATTACACATGGTTAGAGGTATTACACATTGCAAGTGGTATTTCACATGGTAAGAGGTATTACACATAGAGGTATTACACATGACAAGAGGTATTACACATAGAGGTATTACACATGACAAGACGTATTACACATGACAAGAGGTATTACACATTAAAAGAGGTATTACACATGACAAGAGGTATTACACATAGAGGTATTACACGTTATAAGAGGTATTTCACATGATAGAGGTATTGCACATAGATAGAGGTTTTACACATGACAGAGGTATTACACATGGCAAGAGGTATTAGACATGGCAAGAGGTATTACAAATAGATAGAGGTATTACACATGACAAGAGGTATTACATGTTGCAAGAGGTATTTCACATGGTAGGAGGTATTACACATGGTAAGAGGTATTACACATTGCAAGAGGTATTTCACATGGTAAGAGGTATTACACATGGTAAGAGGTATTACACATTGCAAGAGGTATTACACATTGCAAGAGGTATTACACATTGCAAGAGGTATTTCACATGGTAAGAGGTATTACACATGGCAAGAGGTATTACACATTGCAAGAGGTATTACACATTGGAAGAGGTATTTCACATGGTAAGAGGTATTACACATGATAAGAGGTATTACACATGGTAAGAGGTATTACACGTTGAAGAGGTATTACACATGGTAAGAGGTTTTTCACATGGTAAGAGGTATTACACGTTGCAAGTGGTATTTCACATGGTAAGAGGTATTACACCTTGAAGAGGTATTACACATGGTAAGAGGTATTACACGTTGCAAGAGGTATTTCACATGGTAAGAGGTATTACACATGGTTAGAGGTATTACACATTGCGAGAGGTATTACACATGACAAGAGGTATTGCACATGACAAGAGGTATTACACATTAAAAGAGGTATTACACATTGCGAGAGGTATTACACATGACAAGAGGTATTACACATAGAGGTATTACACATGACAAGAGGTATTACACATGGTAAGAGGTATTACACTTGATAAGAGGTATTACATGTTGGAAGAGGTAATACACATGTGGTAAGAGGTATTACATGTTGCAAGAGGTATTACATGTGACAAGAGGTATTGCACATGACAAGAGGTATTACACATGGCAAGAGGTATTACACATTGTAAGAGGTATTACACATGACAGAGGTATTACACATGGTAAGAGGTATTACATGTTGCAAGAGGTATTACACGTGACAAGAGGTATTACACATGGTAAGAGGTATTACACATGACAAGAGGTATTACACATGACAAGAATTATTACACAGTACAAGAGGTATTACACATTGTAAGAGGCATTACACATGACAGAGGTATTTCACATGGTAAGAGGTATTACACATTGTAAGAGGCATTCCACTGAACATGTTCTGTGTTGCAGAAGATAAGGCCATAAATCAGTAATAAGCCAGCAACTATCTCAAACTATTGTAAGAACTGTGAGAGTTCGAGTTTTATATTCAAATCCTTCCAAATGTTGGTTTGTCAAACAGACTTAGGAATTGAATTTGAATCATAAGTGACCTAAGACAGTGACTTCTTGAAAACATCACACAGTCTCAAGTATATATTTTTTTAACCTGTGCCTTGTCACTTAATGTCTATAAACAGGAAACATTTTACTGCTGCTGAATTGATTATATTAGAGATGACAAGAAGTATTACACAGTACAAGAGGTATTACACGTTGCAAGAGGTATTGCACATGACAAGAGGTATTACACATGGCAAGAGGTATTACACATTGTAAGAGGTATTACACATGACAGAGGTATTACACATGGTAAGAGGTATTACATGTTGCAAGAGGTATTACACGTGACAAGAGGTATTACACATGGTAAGAGGTATTACACATGGTAAGAGGTATTACACATGACAAGAGGTATTACACATGACAAGAATTATTACACAGTATAAGAGGTATTACACATTGTAAGAGGCATTACACATGACAGAGGTATTTCACATGGTAAGAGGTATTACACATGGTAAGAGGCATTCCATTGAACATGTTCTGTGTTGCAGAAGATAAGGCCATAAATCAGTAATAAGCCAGCAACTATCTCAAACTATTGTAAGAACTGTGAGAGTTCGAGTTTTATATTCAAATCCTTCCAAATGTTGGTTTGTCAAACAGACTTAGGAATTGAATTTGAATCATAAGTGACCTAAGACAGTGACTTCTTGAAAACATCACACAGTCTCAAGTATATATTTTTTTAACCTGTGCCTTGTCACTTAATGTCTATAAACAGGAAACATTTTACTGCTGCTGAATTGATTATATTAGAGATGACAAGAAGTATTACACAGTACAAGAGGTATTACACGTTGCAAGAGGTATTGCACATGACAAGAGGTATTACACATGGCAAGAGGTATTACACATTGTAAGAGGTATTACACATGACAGAGGTATTACACATGGTAAGAGGTATTACATGTTGCAAGAGGTATTACACGTGACAAGAGGTATTACACATGGTAAGAGGTATTACACATGGTAAGAGGTATTACACATGACAAGAGGTATTACACATGACAAGAATTATTACACAGTATAAGAGGTATTACACATTGTAAGAGGCATTACACATGACAGAGGTATTTCACATGGTAAGAGGTATTACACATTGTAAGAGGCATTCCATTGAACATGTTCTGTGTTGCAGAAGATAAGGCCATAAATCAGTAATAAACCAGCAACTATCTCAAACTATTGTAAGAACTGTGAGAGTTCGAGTTCTATATTCAAATCCTTCCAAATGTTGGTTTGTCAAAAAGACTTAGGAATTGAATTTGAATCATAAGTGACCTAAGACAGTGACTTCTTGAAAACATCAACAGTCTCAAGTATATATTTTTTTAACCTGTGCCTTGTCACTTAATGTCTATAAACAGGAAACATTTTACTGCTGCTGAATTGATTATATTAGAGATGACAAGAAGTATTACACAGTACAAGAGGTATTACACGTTGCAAGAGGTATAACACATGGTAAGAGGTATTACACATGGTAAGAGGTATTACACATTGTAAGAGGCATTACACATGACAGAGGTATTTCACATGGTAAGAGGTATTACACATGACAAGAGGTATTACACATTGTAAGAGGCATTACACATGACAGAGGTTTTACACATAACAAGAGCTATTACACATGACAGAGGTATTACACATAACAAGAGCTATTACACATGGCAGAGGTATTACACATAACAAGAGCTATTACACATGACAGGTATTACACATAACAAGAACTATTACACATGACAGAGGTATTTCACATGGTAAGAGGTATTACATGTGACAAGAAGTATTACACATGACAAGAGGTATTACACATAACAAGAGTTATTACACATGGCAAGAGGTATTACACATGACAAGAGCTATTACACATGACAGAGGTATCTTTACAAATAGTGTATCTGTTACAAGGATTGTCTGCACATTACAGGAGCAAGAAAGACAAGCACTGGAAAAAAAGCAACGAGAAACGAGAGCCGCCATACAAATTTCCTTGAGAACTAAGAAGATGGAAACAAGCCTTGTGGATCAAATTCTGTCAACTAATCAGCCGAAAATACGAAGCGAGGAGTATGATGGGCTTGACGATTTGTATGGATTGTCAGAAATGGCCTCAGAGATTGAAACGGAGAGTAGTGAGAACTTGGATATTGAGACTAGCATGGAAAATGTGAAAATATCCCAGGTAGGAACACATATTGGTGAGTCAAGGCTGAAAGGACAGCCAGTGGTTGGCCGTGAGGGACATCTGGGACCTAACGGTCAGACTCCTGTGATGTCAACACTCCCACAGACAGGCACATCTCCACAATCTGTCAATGACAGAAGCAGTAGCTCTCAGCTCTCTCATGTAACCTCTCTTCCTGGCTTCTCTTGCACCCCCTCCAGATTCCGTCCAGCGGCCCAGGATACGGGGCCATCTACTCCCACTGCCACAACCCATGTTACTTGTAACATAGATAATACTGATTATGGTGATAATGATGATGATGAATTTTTCTCCCAAGAAATACAACAAAGTCTGGTGATGTTTAGCCCTAGCACCTCATCTTCCCATCTCGCCTCAGTTAGACAGACAAATCCTCATGCTCCCAGACCAGTGCATGACACCAACAAAGTCCTCTCCAGAGCAAGAGAAGATTCAGATAGCCCTACACCAACCAAGAAAAAGAAGAATGTGCCTGGATTTTAAATGCTTTTTCATACACCAAGCAAGTGAATTGATCCACAATGATGATTAACACTGAAACATACTTGTTTACAACTGATAAGCTTTCTTAACCAATGTACGGTATGTGCATTCCATTGAACATGTTCTGTGTTGCAGAAGATAAGGCCATAAATCAGTAATAAACCAGCAACTATCTCAAACTATTGTAAGAACTGTGAGAGTTCGAGTTCTATATTCAAATCCTTCCAAATGTTGGTTTGTCAAAAAGACTTAGGAATTGAATTTGAATCATAAGTGACCTAAGACAGTGACTTCTTGAAAACATCACACAGTCTCAAGTATATATTTATTTAACCTGTGCCTTGTCACTTAATGTCTATAAACAGGAAACATTTTACTGCTGCTGAATTGTTTATATTTCTTACATCCTGTAAACCATTTTCATAAATACTGCCAGAATTCAGGATGGCTCTATCAAAGTCTTGCTGGACACACATGGTGTCAGGCCGGTAAGTGGAGGTCTGGAGTCTGCATAGTAGTCATGCTGGACACACACAGATTACAGGCCAGTTATTGGAGGTCTGGAGTCTCCATAGTAGTCTTGCTGGACACACACATATGACAGGCCAGTTATTGGAGGTCTGGAGTCTCCATAGTAGTCTTGCTGGACACACACATATGGCAGGCAAGTTAGTGGAGGTCTGGATGTCTCCATAGTAGTCTTGCTGGACACACACAGATGACAGGCAAGTTAGTGGAGGTCTGGATGTCTCCATAGTAGTCTTGCTGGACACACACAGATGACAGGCCAGTTATTGGAGGTCTGGAGTCTCCATAGTAGTCTTGCTGGACACACACATATGGCAGGCAAGTTAGTGGAGGTCTGGATGTCTCCATAGTAGTCTTGCTGGACACACACAGATGACAGGCCAGTTATTGGAGGTCTGGAGTCTCCATAGTAGTCTTGCTGGACACACACATATGGCAGGCAAGTTACTGGAGGTCTGGAGTCTCCATAGTAGTCTTGCTGGACACACACATATGGCAGGCAAGTTACTGGAGGTCTGGAGTCTCCATAGTAGTCTTGCTGGACACACACATATAGCAGGCAAGTAAGTGGAGGTCTGGAGTCTCCATAGTAGTCTTGCTGGACACACACATATGGCAGGCAAGTTACTGGAGGTCTGGAGTCTCCATAGTAGTCTTGCTGGACACACACATATGGCAGGCATGTTACTGGAGGTCTGGAGTCTCCATAGTAGTCTTGCTGGACACACACATATGGCAGGCAAGTTAGTGGAGGTCTGGATGTCTCCATAGTAGTCTTGCTGGACACACACAGATGACAGGCAAGTAAGTGGAGGTCTGGATGTCTCCATAGTAGTCTTGCTGGACACACACATGGTGTCAGGCCGGTTAGTGGAGATCTGGATGTCTCCATAGCAGTCTTGCTGGACACACACAGATGACAGGCCAGTTACTGGAGGTCTGGATGTCTCCATAGTAGTCTTGCTGGACACACACAGATGACAGGCCAGTTAGTGGACGTCTGGATGTCTCCATAGTAGTCTTGCTGGACACACACATATAGCAGGCAAGTAAGTGGAGGTCTGGAGTCTCTATAGTAGTCTTGCTGGACACACACATATGGCAGGCAAGTTAGTGGAGGTCTGGATGTCTCCATAGTAGTCTTGCTGGACACACACATATGGCAGGCAAGTTACTGGAGGTCTGGAGTCTCCATAGTAGTCTTGCTGGACACACACATATGGCAGGCAAGTTAGTGGAGGTCTGGATGTCTTCATAGTAGTCTTGCTGGACACACACAGATGACAGGCAAGTTAGTGGAGGTCTGGATGTCTCCATAGTAGTCTTGCTGGACACACACATGGTGTCAGGCCGGTTAGTGGAGGTCTGGATGTCTCCATAGCAGTCTTGCTGGACACACACATGGTGTCAGGCCGGTTAGTGGAGGTCTGGATGTCTCCATAGCAGTCTTGCTGGACACACACAGATGACAGGCCAGTTAGTGGACGTCTGGATGTCTCCATAGTAGTCTTGCTGGACACACACATATGGCAGGCAAGTAAGTGGAGGTCTGGAGTCTCCATAGTAGTCTTGCTGGACACACACATATGGCAGGCAAGTTACTGGAGGTCTGGAGTCTCCATAGTAGTCTTGCTGGACACACACATATGGCAGGCATGTTACTGGAGGTCTGGAGTCTCCATAGTAGTCTTGCTGGACACACACATATGGCAGGCAAGTTAGTGGAGGTCTGGATGTCTCCATAGTAGTCTTGCTGGACACACACAGATGACAGGCAAGTTAGTGGAGGTCTGGATGTCTCCATAGTAGTCTTGCTGGACACACACATGGTGTCAGGCCGGTTAGTGGAGATCTGGATGTCTCCATAGCAGTCTTGCTGGACACACACAGATGACAGGCCAGTTACTGGAGGTCTGGATGTCTCCATAGTAGTCTTGCTGGACACACACAGATGACAGGCCAGTTAGTGGACGTCTGGATGTCTCCATAGTAGTCTTGCTGGACACACACATATAGCATGCAAGTTACTGGAGGTCTGAAGTCTCCATAGTAGTCTTGCTGGACACACACATATGGCAGGCAAGTAAGTGGAGGTCTGGAGTCTCTATAGTAGTCTTGCTGGACACACACATATGGCAGGCAAGTTAGTGGAGGTCTGGATGTCTCCATAGTAGTCTTGCTGGACACACACATATGGCAGGCAAGTTACTGGAGGTCTGGAGTCTCCATAGTAGTCTTGCTGGACACACACATATGGCAGGCAAGTTAGTGGAGGTCTGGATGTCTTCATAGTAGTCTTGCTGGACACACACAGATGACAGGCAAGTTAGTGGAGGTCTGGATGTCTCCATAGTAGTCTTGCTGGACACACACATGGTGTCAGGCCGGTTAGTGGAGGTCTGGATGTCTCCATAGCAGTCTTGCTGGACACACACATGGTGTCAGGCCGGTTAGTGGAGGTCTGGATGTCTCCATAGCAGTCTTGCTGGACACACACAGATGACAGGCCAGTTAGTGGACGTCTGGATGTCTCCATAGTAGTCTTGCTGGACACACACATATAGCAGGCAAGTTACTGGAGGTCTGGAGTCTCCATAGTAGTCTTGCTGGACACACACATATGGCAGGCAAGTTAGTGGAGGTCTGGATGTCTCCATAGTAGTCTTGCTGGACACACACATATGGCAGGCAAGTTAGTGGAGGTCTGGATGTCTCCATAGTAGACTTGCTGGACACACACATATGGCAGGCAAGTTACTGGAGGTCTGGAGTCTCCATAGTAGTCTTGCTGGACACACACATATAGCAGGCAAGTAAGTGGAGGTCTGGAGTCTCCATAGTAGTCTTGCTGGACACACACATATGGCAGGCAAGTTAGTGGAGGTCTGGATGTCTCCATAGTAGTCTTGCTGGACACACACATATGGCAGGCAAGTTACTGGAGGTCTGGAGTCTCCATAGTAGTCTTGCTGGACACACACATATGGCAGGCAAGTTACTGGAGGTCTGGATGTCTCCATAGTAGTCTTGCTGGACACACACATATGGCAGGCAAGTTATTGGAGGTCTGGATGTCTCCATAGTAGTCTTGCTGGACACACACAGATGACAGGCAAGTTAGTGGAGGTCTGGATGTCTCCATAGTAGTCTTGCTGGACACACACAGATGACAGGCCAGTTATTGGAGGTCTGGAGTCTCCATAGTAGTCTTGCTGGACACACACATATGGCAGGCAAGTTAGTGGAGGTCTGGATGTCTCCATAGTAGTCTTGCTGGACACACACAGATGACAGGCCAGTTATTGGAGGTCTGGAGTCTCCATAGTAGTCTTGCTGGACACACACATATGGCAGGCAAGTTACTGGAGGTCTGGAGTCTCCATAGTAGTCTTGCTGGACACACACATATGGCAGGCAAGTTACTGGAGGTCTGGAGTCTCCATAGTAGTCTTGCTGGACACACACATATAGCAGGCAAGTAAGTGGAGGTCTGGAGTCTCCATAGTAGTCTTGCTGGACACACACATATGGCAGGCAAGTTACTGGAGGTCTGGAGTCTCCATAGTAGTCTTGCTGGACACACACATATGGCAGGCATGTTACTGGAGGTCTGGAGTCTCCATAGTAGTCTTGCTGGACACACACATATGGCAGGCAAGTTAGTGGAGGTCTGGATGTCTCCATAGTAGTCTTGCTGGACACACACAGATGACAGGCAAGTAAGTGGAGGTCTGGATGTCTCCATAGTAGTCTTGCTGGACACACACATGGTGTCAGGCCGGTTAGTGGAGATCTGGATGTCTCCATAGCAGTCTTGCTGGACACACACAGATGACAGGCCAGTTACTGGAGGTCTGGATGTCTCCATAGTAGTCTTGCTGGACACACACAGATGACAGGCCAGTTAGTGGACGTCTGGATGTCTCCATAGTAGTCTTGCTGGACACACACATATAGCAGGCAAGTAAGTGGAGGTCTGGAGTCTCTATAGTAGTCTTGCTGGACACACACATATGGCAGGCAAGTTAGTGGAGGTCTGGATGTCTCCATAGTAGTCTTGCTGGACACACACATATGGCAGGCAAGTTACTGGAGGTCTGGAGTCTCCATAGTAGTCTTGCTGGACACACACATATGGCAGGCAAGTTAGTGGAGGTCTGGATGTCTTCATAGTAGTCTTGCTGGACACACACAGATGACAGGCAAGTTAGTGGAGGTCTGGATGTCTCCATAGTAGTCTTGCTGGACACACACATGGTGTCAGGCCGGTTAGTGGAGGTCTGGATGTCTCCATAGCAGTCTTGCTGGACACACACATGGTGTCAGGCCGGTTAGTGGAGGTCTGGATGTCTCCATAGCAGTCTTGCTGGACACACACAGATGACAGGCCAGTTAGTGGACGTCTGGATGTCTCCATAGTAGTCTTGCTGGACACACACATATGGCAGGCAAGTAAGTGGAGGTCTGGAGTCTCCATAGTAGTCTTGCTGGACACACACATATGGCAGGCAAGTTACTGGAGGTCTGGAGTCTCCATAGTAGTCTTGCTGGACACACACATATGGCAGGCATGTTACTGGAGGTCTGGAGTCTCCATAGTAGTCTTGCTGGACACACACATATGGCAGGCAAGTTAGTGGAGGTCTGGATGTCTCCATAGTAGTCTTGCTGGACACACACAGATGACAGGCAAGTTAGTGGAGGTCTGGATGTCTCCATAGTAGTCTTGCTGGACACACACATGGTGTCAGGCCGGTTAGTGGAGATCTGGATGTCTCCATAGCAGTCTTGCTGGACACACACAGATGACAGGCCAGTTACTGGAGGTCTGGATGTCTCCATAGTAGTCTTGCTGGACACACACAGATGACAGGCCAGTTAGTGGACGTCTGGATGTCTCCATAGTAGTCTTGCTGGACACACACATATAGCATGCAAGTTACTGGAGGTCTGAAGTCTCCATAGTAGTCTTGCTGGACACACACATATGGCAGGCAAGTAAGTGGAGGTCTGGAGTCTCTATAGTAGTCTTGCTGGACACACACATATGGCAGGCAAGTTAGTGGAGGTCTGGATGTCTCCATAGTAGTCTTGCTGGACACACACATATGGCAGGCAAGTTACTGGAGGTCTGGAGTCTCCATAGTAGTCTTGCTGGACACACACATATGGCAGGCAAGTTAGTGGAGGTCTGGATGTCTTCATAGTAGTCTTGCTGGACACACACAGATGACAGGCAAGTTAGTGGAGGTCTGGATGTCTCCATAGTAGTCTTGCTGGACACACACATGGTGTCAGGCCGGTTAGTGGAGGTCTGGATGTCTCCATAGCAGTCTTGCTGGACACACACATGGTGTCAGGCCGGTTAGTGGAGGTCTGGATGTCTCCATAGCAGTCTTGCTGGACACACACAGATGACAGGCCAGTTAGTGGACGTCTGGATGTCTCCATAGTAGTCTTGCTGGACACACACATATAGCAGGCAAGTTACTGGAGGTCTGGAGTCTCCATAGTAGTCTTGCTGGACACACACATATGGCAGGCAAGTTAGTGGAGGTCTGGATGTCTCCATAGTAGTCTTGCTGGACACACACATATGGCAGGCAAGTTAGTGGAGGTCTGGATGTCTCCATAGTAGACTTGCTGGACACACACATATGGCAGGCAAGTTACTGGAGGTCTGGAGTCTCCATAGTAGTCTTGCTGGACACACACATATAGCAGGCAAGTAAGTGGAGGTCTGGAGTCTCCATAGTAGTCTTGCTGGACACACACATATGGCAGGCAAGTTAGTGGAGGTCTGGATGTCTCCATAGTAGTCTTGCTGGACACACACATATGGCAGGCAAGTTACTGGAGGTCTGGAGTCTCCATAGTAGTCTTGCTGGACACACACATATGGCAGGCAAGTTACTGGAGGTCTGGATGTCTCCATAGTAGTCTTGCTGGACACACACATATGGCAGGCAAGTTATTGGAGGTCTGGATGTCTCCATAGTAGTCTTGCTGGACACACACATATGGCAGGCAAGTTACTGGAGGTCTGGAGTCTCCATAGTAGTCTTGCTGGACACACACATATAGCAGGCAAGTAAGTGGAGGTCTGGAGTCTCCATAGTAGTCTTGCTGGACACACACATATGGCAGGCAAGTTAGTGGAGGTCTGGATGTCTCCATAGTAGTCTTGCTGGACACACACATATGGCAGGCAAGTTACTGGAGGTCTGGAGTCTCCATAGTAGTCTTGCTGGACACACACATATGACAGGCAAGTTAGTGGAGGTCTGGATGTCTCCATAGTAGTCTTGCTGGACACACACATATGGCAGGCAAGTTAGTGGAGGTCTGGATGTCTCCATAGTAGTCTTGCTGGACACACATCGGTGCCAGGCAGGTTATTGAAAGCCTGGATGTCTCCATAGTAGTCTTGCTGGACACACAAAGGATAAAAATAATTCTTACAAAATGATTATATGTAAAAATAGACTTTCAAAAATATGATGTTAACATTTTCTCTGCAATTCATGTCATATGGGTCTTACCTGTCAGCAAATGAGCAGTTGAAAATGTACATGAAAATGATATGAGACATATACAAAAACTATATTATTCACTATTTCATGTGCTAGTAGATCTGTTTATATTTAAGCAGTTAGGACTTGAGTGTATTGAGACAGCAAGTGTTTTGACAATGTGCATCTGACAGGGGTGCCTGCCAGCTCTCTTATGTCAAATGGCTGATATTCAACTGAAACAGTTGGGTTATTGTTAGTTGTTGTTATGTTGAAGAATAAAATTTGGGTATTTCTGAAATATGTTTATTTAATTATTAGCTCTCCAATGGTGAGATGTTGTTGTCGAGATGACATATTGGTAAATGCATATAGGGATTAGCATCATGACTACTGCAGCCCTATGTTTTTCATTTGTGATCACACCTCAATTCGCAAACTACATTCCCTACTCAATTATTTACAGTCTGGCATGATAAGGTGGAATATTGCTGACTGCACCATTATAAAATCTAACTGTTTAAGATATTGTTTAATTTTATTTTTCTTCTTGAAACACATTTTGACTGCCATAGCCTATGCCGACATTATTGAAAATGCAATATAGCCCCAGCCCCTTGTAAAATTGTCCCCAGAAAATCAACTGACATTTTAGTGAAAATAGTAGTATAGGTAATAGGGGTTCTGGCTCACTTCCACTGGAGCCAGATTTATATACCTATACTGCTACTACAGGGGAATTTTTTTATGTGTAAATGCTGATGCGATTCAATGATCGTCATGATTCGTATTAAAAGAAACATCAATATTAATTAATAATGGATAAAATTTACTTTAGCCCACGAGGATATTGGAAAGGTATAGGAGCAATAAAAAAATTAGCCACTGTGGCTAAGGTATCTAAAGATGTAGCCAAGGATTGGTTAAAGAAACAAGCGATGTGGCAAATATACTTACTGGCACCACGTTATATACCGAGGAAGAAGTTTGATATTTTTACAACGAATGAAGTTCATCAGGCTGACCTCTTGTTTCTTCCCCATGATAAGGTAAAACGCATAAATACGCTTTAACCGTAGTGGATGTGGCTAGTCGATACAAAGAGGCTGAGCCATTAACCTCGAAAGATTCAACAGAAGTAGCTAATGCACTGACCCGTATATATAAACGCGGACAACTAAAATGGCCTAAGCTATTTCAAGTAGATCCAGGTCGCGAGTTTATGGGATCAGTAACTAAACTGTTAACAAAGCACGATGTCGAAATCAGGCGTGGTGAAAAAGAGGCCCACCGTAGTCAAGCTATCATTGAAAGATTTAACCGGACATTAGCGGAACGTTTGTTTGGCTATCAGCATGGGATCGAAATGAAATCAGATCGATTAAGATCAAGCGAATGGGTGACACGTTTATCAGCTGTTGTATCAGCGCTGAATAATGAAGTAACGAGATTAATCAGGAAGAAACCATCCAATGCGATTAAGATGAAATCTGTGACTTCCGAATCTTCAGCACCGAGGAGAGGCAAAGAACAAAAACTTCCGGATAGAGTAAGCGTAAGATATTTATACCAGCCCTGTGAACTCGAAGGAGGCCTACGTTGCGCAACCGATCCGATTTGGTTCCTTAATATATATAACATTAGTCGATTGGTTATGAAAGAAGGAGAGCCTATTCTTTATTATCCTAAAGATGGACCGGGCAGGGCATTTGTACGAGAAGAGTTGCTCATTGTTCCAAACGATACAGTATTACCACCATAACCATAAGCATAGGTAGTTACACCATCCTTGTCAATCCATCTCTTTGTATCTAAGGGGGATAATGATGTCTTGTTCATTCTTAATCCATATATCCTATGATTGTAACTTCTTAAAGAGTTCATCTGGTGTTTATACGTTCTACCGTTGAATAATGCTTCTTTATACTGTTCGTGTTTGATATGCTTTTTTACCACATTCTTCTTAACGCCTTTAGCTTTTCTTATCTCTCCATTATCGGACTTCTTTATAGAATACATCTTAGGTCTTAATCAAACATACTCCCCTATAGGGGTCCCAGCACATTCATCCTTCATCTTACCTAACACCTTTTTATTTACTACGCTGTGCAGTGGATTATCTTTTGGGTAATCGCTCGTGTCATACATATCTATTTTTTCTGACATATCTTTATATACCTCCTCGGTTTGGATTTCCATCAACAAATAATCTGTGTCGGTATATAACACCTCGCATCTATCACCGTATTGCTTCTTAAGTTCGTTGTAATAAAAGTCATACATTAAGTGTTTTGACAAGTCGAGAATACTCATACCAACGTTGAATTTTATATTACTCTTCTTCATATGCAACGCGGCTAAGTCATTATCAAATATCTTGCTTCTGTTAAAAGCCGGACTGGCTATAAGTTTCCTGAGTCTTTCTTCCTCATTAGACCTGACTAATTTAACATCAACACGCTTCCTCAGATTCTCCATAGTTTATATACCAAATACTGAGTTATTCATGAGCTTATATAGATTTTTTTCGAAATCGCTGGTAGCCATCTTTCTTAAATCTGTGTTCAGTCTTATATAGGGCTCCATCCAAGGTCTTTGATCAAACTTTAGAACTCTCAGTATTTTATTTAGTTACATACCTAATGATAGATATAACTGGAGATTTCTGTAGTGAACTATATATTTTGTCTTATCCATCAAATTTGGTACAAGTTTTTCTACGTTAGCTAACCTCGTATTACCCATCAAGGAGTGTTGATATTCCGACATCCAATCTTTATAACCATTAATCTTTCGGGAGCTAGCGGATAACTGTTATGGTCTTTATGTAAAGAATTTGGATATTCCAAGTCAACTTCTAGTATGTACCCTTTATCGGAATCTGAGGGGATATTATTCACTTTGATATCATCGACCCACTCAAAACCACCTGTGGGTAAAGGTTGACTCATAGCCCATCCGTACAAATTGTTGGCGTCGAGATATAATATGTGCGTGTCGGGTTTACTCGGATCATATCCTTACACTAATTTATTATTAGCCTTAGAATACCTTTTAGCTGCCATCCATATACCACCTCTTAATCCTTTCTCAATAAACAAGTGCATATCGTCATCGGTGAGTAGTTTTAGTTCTACACCGGTCTTCTTTAACAATGCATCCCACGATAGTCCTGGACTGGAATAGTACCATGCCGGGTCCAAGCCGTATTGTTTCAAACATGTCTTTCTAAATATCCCGAATATATCGGCGAGTAACAGTACATCGGTTTTTAAGTACAGATCGTGATAATCGCCTAAATTCTTACAACCTAATTTATCCCAGACCGTCAGAGCGTGTTCATAATCGGCATCAGTTATTTAAGAATCTGTTAAGTTACTATAGAATGATTCAAGAGGTGGTAATTTAGTTTCGTCGAATCTAGACCAATCATCCATATATTCGTAAGGATATACACCTTTTCTCAACAACAAATGACGAGTTAACCAATCGGTATATTGATTTGTTATCACAAAGTCATCGGGATTGTTCGCATTAGCTAAATTGTCCAGGGAAGATAACAGAAACTGTACGGAGTCTATGAATCTAAGCCCATTACTTTGCATTTTTCTGGCTTTCCCATCCTTGTCCATATAATGTATAGTTTTAGTCCACGAGAATGATATGTATTTTTCCATATTATAAGGAATACACGTTAACCCGCCGTCGGTCTTTGAGATAGCTTGCATGATGAGATGTGAATCATACCCTCTAAGGTTGTGAAACACAACGGGGATTGGTATTGTTTGAGAATTCATTTTTAGTTTCAAGTTACACTCGTTATGCGCGGCTCCCCGATAATTACCTGTGACATGGCAATGATCTCTTATGGAATCCCCATTCAGGGGTTTATTACAAACATGACAACTCTTTGACTTCTTATAGACCCTCCAGATATCCCTCGTCATACACATGGGTTTCTTACGCGATAAATTTTCCCTGATTATTCTCTCTTCATTTTGTAGATATTCTAGGAACTTTCTCGCTGCATCGGGACCTCTGTAAACCACGGGCGGGTTTGTTTTCCCATCATACCTTTTTCTTGAGTTTTGTATGTAAAACTATCTTGATTATTGTGTTCGGTATTTTCTATAGGTTTGATAAGTGCTTCGAAGTCAGCGTAGATTATGTACGGTACTGGCATTTGATTACAATAATGTTCAAATTTTAGTATATTTTTTCCCTCTTTAGGCATATCGATCCTGATAGCAGTCTGTCCAACACCTCTGCAGTCTTCTTTATGCGCTTCTAATAGATCTTGTCTGCTGTACCCATGCAGGCATCTTTCGCACAAATATTTCTTTCCCTTATATTTTGTTTGATCATATAATAGCCTGTTTAAACTCTTTATGATATTTTCCATCTTTTTGATCAGAAATGAATTGATTCTGGAAATATGTTCAGGAGCGAGGCTTATCCTGTGTATAGCAATTCCTTTAGAAGAATGTCCGAAAACATTTATAGCTAAATTATTTTGTATTTCCGCCTTATCAATTTGGGAGATTGGTGTAGGTTCGTCTATACCATCAAGGTTGAGTCCGTCGTTTTGGGGATAGCTCGAAGGTCTATCTGCAATTTGGTCTACGGGGAACAATGCAGATCTTATCATCACTCTGAAACAGTCATTGGATTTATTTTTTACATTAATTATGGCTTTTTTCTTTTTATAATGCGGGGGGAAATCTATATAAGATCCACCTTTGAAAGGCATATAATTTGCTATATCTAAATATAAACTATCGATTTTATCCACACCCCAACCCGAACCTCTAATAGTCCAATGTTCTAAATTTTCCTGTATCCTCTGAATTGATGTATTTAATGATGCGTTTAAAGTATCGGATTCGGTTAAAACTTCTTGATTGCTTCGGAAATATGGTTCGGTATATTCAGTGCTATCGTCTGCGTTACTTTTACTCAATGACATTTTAACCATCAGCTGGTATTTTATACTATTTAAATCATCTAATTCCTTGTTAATTTTGCTAGATATGATGGGCTTAACATCATTAACATCCATGTTGGAATTAATATCCATCTTCCAACCTCTTAGATATTTACCAATGCCGGCTGTGGGTACAAATTTTAACTCATTATAATCAACAACTGGTTGATTATTTTTATCAACATCGCCAACTGATTTACTATTATCCAGTAAAGCAATCAATTCAGCTTTTCTCATTCGAAAATAACCTCTCAGCCCACTGTTTTTTGCTTGAGCTTTGAGTTCTCCAACAGTCTGGGGTTTGTTGTATTC